AGATAGTGATGTTTTTCAATGACTCATCCAGTGTGAAGGGGAAGGTCTCTTGCGTTCCAGGATTTCTTGCTCGCTGAAGAACTGTCACCTGACAGAATTGAGGGAAAGGGGGGAAAATGAGCGACTTACTCTGCGATCTCTATTCTTCAAACAATAGTCCAGTCATATAAGTCTCATTATATTCACTGAACTGTAGAATCATACCAGAGCTGAAGTTGAGGTGTCAAGGATAATATCTGTGGCTTGAGAAAGCTCTGATTTGGAAACATGAATGGCCTGGCCTCCAGAGGTCAGAGCTATGTCTTTGTAGTCGTCAAAGGAAGCAGCTCTGAGGGAACGACGGCGTCTGCTAAATGGTGTAGTAATGAAGAACGACACCTGTGGAGATCAGTTAATGTCACAGTTATACCCACAGCTGCCATGCCTAAGTAGGCTTAATGAATACTGATTATCATGAAGTGTCATTCTGCATTTACCTTTGACTTAGTGCTACTAATGAGAGCATTGATAGTGTCTTTGAGCTCAATGTCTTTTGCTAAAGCATCAGTGAAAACATAGATGTCAGAAGAGGAAGGAGCACCTGTCAGAGCAAGCTGGAGAAATAAAGTATACATAAAATCTTCGATGCATCCACATTTTCATCTTTCTGAAATGTTTTTGTCTGATTAACCAAAATCCCAGTTACAAGTGAAAATGTCACAACTGATTGTAGTACCTGAAGCCCTGACAGGCACATCTCAGGTTCATCACCTCCACCACTTGCTGTAAGCTTCGAGATTTCTTCTTTCATCTTATCCACGTCTGTTGTCCTGATCATAGGTCCAAACTCTACATACAAGAACAAAAAAGAGCTAACCATGTAGACTGACCTGAGGACTAAATATAGCCGGTTGTCTACAAGCACATTGGGACAATATGCAGATTTGCATCACAAATGCACTTTATGTTTCATAAAACAGAAATTAAATACAACTAGTACAGGTCGTTTAAATACCAGTAAATGCTAATATCCTTAATGGGATAGAGGAGTTCATACCAGGGTCATTGAAAGGCACCAGGATGTACTCGGAGGGCTCGTCTTGTGTTCCTTTGTATGCGTCAATGATTTGATAAACAACTGATCTTGCTTCTTCAATGTCATCTGACATACTCCCAGTTGTGTCAATTACGAAGCACAAGACAGATGAGCGAGCAATCCCCATCATTCTGTGAGAAAAGAAAATTCAGTTTTCATTTCAATCCCAGAGTACTGAAATACTGAAGTAAAATACTTCATACTTCATAGTATACTCTGAAATACTTTGTTCATGTGTCATTATAGTACCTCAAAAAGTTACTGTCTCCTACAGCTAAGCGAAGATCCTGCAATAACTCGAGACTGGCGTCTGTTGCTGCTTGCACAGCAGCGTTGTGAAAAGCCAAGTTGTCTTGATGACGCTCATCTTTGCTGATGCCTCCTTGAGGATTGATTTTGCTAGTACGATCAGCTGCACCTCCATGGCTGCATTTACCTTACATAAGGAAGAGATCGTTGTACCCATATCTTGATTAGATATACTGATCTTGCATGTGTGTTTAAGTACTCCTAAAAAACCCTAAAAGCATGTAATAATAGTAAAAAATTCTATGAAAAAAAATTGTGAAATCAAACTGATGTGTGTGTTAGTTTGGTTCAGTTCAGGTTTTATCAGTGGTACAGAAAACTGTCATACATGTCTGATGAATACAAAGTCACAGACAGAAACAAGTTAGGTTAGCTCAGCATAAACATGGCACTACTGAGGTAAAAAAAAAAAAAAAAGAGTCTATCCTGTTAGTACATCTAAAGCTCACTGACATACAGTGGTCCCTCGCTATAACACGGTTCACTGCACTTTGCACCGTCAAAGGCTCCTGTGGTAGCACCTAAAAGGCAGAGGAAGATGCTAACCATCGCACAAAAAGTTGGACTTCTGGACATCCTAAATGAAGGTAGAAGTTACCGTATTTTTCGGACCATAAGGTGCACCTGGTTATAAGGCGCATTAAGCAAAACAAAACAGTCAGATGCACTGTAAAAAACATCCGTAAAAATACAGTACAATCTACTGTATAAACGTGAAGGAATTTTCCGTATTAGTCATTTACAGGTATTTTTCTGTATTTCTCAACTACTGCAATGCATTGTGGGAAAAAGAACCTGAAAAGGAGGGAAAAGTAAGCGCAAGAGCAGCCATTAGGCTTCTTTCAGGCT